TTGTCTAGAAAAGCTACAGGCTGTGAACAGACAGCCCAAGAGGAAGATCATGTGGGTTGCAACTGAAAAGGCCATGAAGCGGAGCTGCCCAAGCCCTGTTGAATTCACATTTTACTGGATGTGCTTTGGATGGCTTGTATGGAGCCACTGTTTGCCCTGTTGGCTTTTTGTCTTTCTTTGGTCCTTTTCTAACCTCCTATTTCTTCATTTTGAAATGGAAATATTTACTCTATACCATTGTATGTTGGGAATGTGTAACTTGCTTTTTGAAGAAATCTTAAACTTGGACTTTTGAGCAATGCTGGAGCTTTGGAGAAGGCATTAATGTATTTTCAGTTGTGTTCATAATAGTTATATCATGTTAGGCACAATGAAGACCTTATGTTTATTTGGAGATGAAGCATTGTTGATAAGGGGTGGAATGTGATAGTAAGCTGAGTTTTGAACTTCATTGACTTGAGAGCTGCCTCAGGGATTAGTAAAGCACATTTCTGGGTGAGTCTGGAAGCATGACCTTGGACTCTACGCCTGATGCCTGATCACTTTCTGCCACTGTTTCCCTCCTCTGCTTCCTGGCTACGATGGAGGGAGCAGTTTTTCTCTACTATATTCTTCCACCATGATGTTTCTACCTTGGAACCGGCTGACCAAGGGCTGATTCCTGTGAAATCATGAACCAAATCAAACCAATCCTCCTCTAAATTGTGTGAGGCATTTTGTCCAGCACTGATTAATATAGCATATAAATACATAGGCTGAACAAAATTAGCAGGATGGTTGCCAGAGACTGGGAGTTTAACTCATAAGTAATAATGCCTGAAAGCATCTAGGAGAGCATCTCAGGATGCTTCTGCTACGAGTATCAGCACTTGACTCTCTCTCTCTCCCTCTCTCTCTCTCTCTCTCCTCTCCAAACACCAGTTTTATTACCCTGCCACCACTGGCAATAGAGAAGCTTTGAAGGTTATGCATCCTGAGATAACTAACTTGCAATTCAAAATCTAGAATAAGTATGTTGTAATGGTGGATTAAAGGCCACATGCCTAGGTCTCAGCTGAAAGCAGTGTTGAAAAATTAAATAGAAAGCCATTTCATAATCTACAGCAAGGAAAAGTACCTACCAATAGCAAGCCTCAAAGGCTGGGGAGGCTCTGGATAAAGGAAAAAGATCCAAACACTGGAGACTCAAGGATGACAATGTTCACCGCAGAGTGGATGAGAAGTGTGCTGTCTTCCACCTTAATTATCTCTATTCTACTTCTGTGCTTTTTCTAGATTCCCTAGATTCTGTTTTCCTAATGGTTTTCAATATAAAATTTTCTAGATACCCTTGATGGCAACTGCCATTTTCAGAACAGTGTAGAAAAATACAACAACTAATAAAGCCCCTGAGCTAGAATATTTATTTTCTGTCTCCACTCTTCTTTTTTTTATGACATCCATAAACTAGCAGGAAAATCAAAATACTCTTATGTATCACCTACTTTGTATTTGCACTATTCTTATGTACTCCTAAGCTAAAAAAAAATCAACCTTTTTCTTCAAGTAACTGGAATTAGTGTAGCAATATTAAGCTGATTACAAAGAGAGAAAATGATATATAAAGACCCCTGAATGCAAAATAGTTCAGAGGTTGGTGACTGGGATTCTAGATACAGCTTGGAGACTGTTGTGGGAAGATTTGAGTATTTGTGAATTCACTGGACTATCAAGGATAAGTACTTATTTTACAAAATTGTAGATAATGTCCTTAAAATTATGGACTTGGAAGTGGGATAAATACTTTTTATAGATTATCTTAGTTTTCTGGTTATAACAACTTAAGCTTAAATTATCTATGTTCTTTTAGATCTCAGAATTGTCTTTGATGTAATTTATATCCATATATATCACCCCTAAAATGACTAGCTCTCATTTTGTACAATCAGGTCAAGGGCTGTGTAGATGGATGCTTTTGAGCCCTGCTACTCCTGACCCCCACCTTGATCATCCTGTGAGAGGTGGGTATACAAGTAATACAGGAGCTTGACAAGGGCCATGGCCCACACTACCTGATCCAACAGTCACCATTATGTTGCAACTAACTCCGTTCATGCTTGACACATCTACTCCATCTTACACTCTGTCCCCAGATCTCTTCCTCATTTCTGTTTAGCAAGGTAAATACTTTCACCTTTTTCCTCTGAACCATTTGCTGCTGAGGAGCCGCAAACATGCTTCCACTCACTGACGCTAATTCTTTGTGGTGAAAATGCATTTCCCATCTTTGTCCTTTTTTATAGATACTGGAGACTGAACCCAGGGCCTGCACAGAGAGATACATCCCTAATTCTTCCTGTACTTTTTTACCTAAGTTCTTGCTAAGTCTCTAACTTGGCCCAAGGTGGTCTCGAACTTGAGAGACTCCTGACTCAATCTACCAGAGTACTGGAATTACATTCATGCACCACCATGCCCGGCTCTTCACTCCATTTGCTATTATCTCACGTATGCCCCACCTAGGAAGCTGTTTTTGTTCTCCAAGAGAGTAGTCCACGTCTGTATCTTATTCTGCTCAGTGCACATCTGATGTAGTTAAACTGGACATGAGGTTTTAACTATTGTCTACCCAAATCTAACGTGGTATTTACTGGTATAAGATCCCCAGTAGGTGTGAGTGATGCAGGCATAGGTCTAAGAAAAGTAAACAGGTCATGAGTTCCTTTGGCAAAACTCACATAAATCTTCATTCTCTACAGAGAGGTCTACTTCCTGTGCCCTCACCCCGGAGTGGACTGTGGTTTCTGAGGAGAAGTGGGAGCACAGCAGTCCAGAGGACAGAGAGAAGCAGTCACTCTCCTCCCTACACTTCAAGAGACAGAGCTATTGTTTGTTGGAACAATCAGAACGCATCTCCCTACTGACAGAAACACAGCCCAGTGTATAACTTGGGTATTTTATACTTTGACCCACGAAAGTCTGGGATTTATTTTTTTTTCTTAAATTAGAAGGCGTACTCATAAACAGGGACTAGATACTCAAATTTCTTTTATCTTACAAATAAATCAAATCAAAGACCTATCCATTTCTTCACACAGAAAGGCTTGAATCTGTGGAGTAGACATCAAAGTAAAGCAGGGAATATGTTCACAGTAACGTAAGGAAAAGTTTGATTTCTATTTGGATGCAAATCATTTCATTGTATAGTTTAACTGCAAACTATACAGTGATTTTAATCTAAACTATTTCCAAGTATCCCCCATCCTCATTTATCCTGAAGGGTACCTTACTGTAGAAGGCTCGATTTAATTTTTTTCAGAAATCATAATTTATCAAGTGTGGCTACAGTGCAGCTGTTAAATGCAGGCAGAGATGCTGCTCTGCTATTGCTCTGTGGCTTCATGATTCATTCATTTTTTTTTCCTTTCTCTTAACCCAGCTGAGTGCTGGCATCTCCGGCTCTAAAAGTCACGCAGAGGATGGGTGGGAGGAATACAAACGCTTCGATGGAGCCAGATTCAGACCGAGGCAGTTGCTGTCTATTAGATGAGGTTAAAGGAAATTTGGGGAGAGCCGTGAGGGAGGAGGTGACTTCCTTTGGCTGAGTCCAGAGACACCTTACCTTAAGGACAAAACACGAGAGTCTGTGCTCACTAATGCAGCAGCCCGTCACACCAGAGAGGCACACAGCTTCTGGTGGCCAAACTTGTTGAACCAACACTATACACACACATACACACACACACAACCTCACACTTGTAAGTGAAGCCACCTACATCTGATTGTGTTTTCATAGAAATGCACATATGCATAAGAAACATACATATATAAATCTGTGATTTGAAATAACATAGCTCTGAGTATTTAGAGACTTCATGTAAGATGAGATGGGGGCAGATTTTAACTATGTAAACTGGATTTATTCTAACACAACTAGGACATACTCACAGGGGATGACACAGATGTGTCTCTGTGTGTCTTTTTACAAGGTGTATTTGGAGATATTTGAAAGTTATGGTATTTATTGGAACTCTTAGGCAGGGCACAGGATCTCACTACTTGACCTTACCACTCAAATCTTCATGAAAATTTTACTGAGCTTCCATTTTTAGAAGGATGCTTTGTCCTTCACAAAATGGAAAGCACATTCCCATTGTACTTCCGCACTGGCCTCCGATTGCTTTTGGAGTGCTCCTTTACTCCATCGTGACCACACAGCCCTGTGGACCATCCCTCGCCATGTGGCTGTCTGAGGAGATCAGAATCAGCATCGTGGACACAGGAGAATACATGCTCCCATTTTTTTTTTCCGGGGACTGTAAGTGATTCCTATTCTTTGCTTCACAGAACATCCGATGTGCTACCCAATCAGCTGAAAAAGCTGCGCAGACGTCATTAGCCGTGTGTGTGTGTGTGTGTGTGTGTGTGTGTGTGTGTGTGAGAGAGAGAGAGAGAGAGAGAGAGAGAGAGAGAGAGAGAGGTTGAGAGGAGACTGCAGCTGCTTTGCTGCGTGCCGAGTGGAGCCTCTATTAGGGCAGCTCTATTGATTTCTGATTCACACTGCAGCAACAGGGGTAGAGTGCAGGAGAAAAAACACATCTCAGAAGCAGGAATCACAAAAGACAACAATGAGCAGATAGATAGATAAGAGATCCATGTAGGAACCCTGCATCAGTCACCCAAAGGAAACCAAATGGAGAGGGTTTTGACAGAAAAATGTAAAGATTATTTCTGATTGGAGTAAAAGGTAAAGAAAAGATAGAGTACAACCAGTTAAAACAAACCTTGCCTTTTATTTTCAACCCATTCCATTCTGCAGAGGTAATAGTGGTTCAGGTGCCAAGGATGCCCTAAAAAAATAGATTTCAAAACTCCTGTAAATTTGGCATAGATATTGAAATATATTGATTTGTTGGAGGATAATATTAAAGCTGTGCCTAAGAATTTTGCAAAAATATTAAGATTTATTTTAAGTAAATTTTGTTTGATCATGGCATCACTGTTTCATTTTTCCATTTTAATTCTTTGTGCTACATAATATCTGGGATACAGTAAAGGGCTGCTTGCAAGTGCTTGGAGCAGAAATAAGCTCCCACCACGGCTGCACTTCAGCATATCCCACTGAGCCGTGAAGTGCAGCAGCGCCTCGCTCACCAGCCAGCTCTGCTCCTGGAACTGGGCTAGAAATGATTGTGTCTGGGGTGTAAAAATGTTGTCTTGGTTTTCAAGCGACCTCCACCTCAAGGCTTACAACCACCGTTCCTCCTGCAAAGAAAGGAAGATTGAAGTAAGTTCAGTCTTTAAATAATGGTGCTGTCTGAGTGTGAGAGGGGAAAATTAGATGAATAGAGCAGTCCGTGCTCACCAGCCCTCACCCCTCCCTGGGCACGCTCACACGCACGCGCGGGCGCGCACACACACACACACACACACACACGCAGGCACACACATACATACTACGACGCCAGTCGGTTCAGGGGAAAGGGGCGATACCTTTTTAAAAAAACGAAAGGCAGTAAGCCATTATTAGCAAGAGCTATATTGAGCATGCTTGCCAGACAGGCAGCAGAGCTGGGCTCCGGTTCCGCCCAGACATGTGCCTTGCCATTTTAATTTTAATCAGCCTGCTCAGGATGGCTGCTGATTCATTTCGCAGGATGTCCTCCTGGGAGCCAAGGTGGGGCCTCAGGCGAGCTTCTCTGCCTCCATGCAGCTCACCACATCAGAGAGGGAGAGGAGGAGGAGGCGGGCGGAAGGAGAAAAGACTTCCACTCGTGGCCACATCCCCAGTTTCAGTATGGCTAGGTACAACAGCCTTCCTCAGACCCGGGCTAGGGTGGAAAATGTAATGAAAGAAAAGGCAAAGGCAGGGAGGGAGGGAGGGAGAGAAAGAGAGAG